GATCATTTCACCTCCTTTTCTCATTAGACATGTTGAGAGGGTGAAGTAGTATTGGTCTGAGAAATAAAAACCATTCATTTTCTAAAAATTAGTCAGTGTGGGCAATACGGCAAAACCCTGTCTCTACAAAAACTACAAAAATTAGCCAGGTGTGGTTGTGTGCACCTGTAGTCCCAGCTACTGGGGAGGCTGAGGCAGGAGGATCACTTGAGCCTAGGAGGTTGAGGCTGCAGCAAGCAGAGATCATGCCATTGTACTCCAGACTGGGTGACAGAGTGAGACCCTGTCTCAAACAAACAAACAAACAAACAAACAAAATTGGTTAACTTGTGCTCTCCTGTAACCTGCCAGCTTCTGTCTTGATGTACCACTAGATCTCCATGTGCCTTCTCTCCTCTCCTGGACTGGAAGCTCTTTGAGGGGAGGACACATCCACACATCCGTACAATGTCTAGCTCAGAACCTTTCACACAAGATGTACCCACTGGAGGCAGCATCATGAGGGGTTGAGAGTGCAGAGTCTGGAACCAAATGCCTAAGGTTCAGATCCTGGCTTTGCAGCAACTTATCAGCTGAGAGACCACTGGCAAGTTACTTACCCTTTCTGAGCTTCAACTTTCTCCTCTTTAGAAGGGAGAGAATGATTATACTTGTCACATTGAGTTTTGTAGAGGGACAAGTGAGACAAAATATGTAAAGCATTCAGCTCATCACGTGGTAAGTACCCAAGAGAGCTTAATTTCATTATTGTTGTTGTTGTAGTTATTAGGCCCTCCCACATTTGATAAATGCACATATGACTGTTACATATAAGATAAAGTTCTATGTGCTGTAAGGAAGATTTATTTAAATGGCGAATTAAATGTTTGTTATATGGCCAGCATCATGTTAGACACTCTACACATGTGTCCTTGTTTAACGCTCTGTGGGCAAGTCAAAAATGTCCCGTCTACAGAAGAGAAAGCCCAATATTAGGTTAAAGAACTGCTCAGTGTTGCAGTTAGTAAGTAGTGCAACAAGACTTCAAATACTGTATTGACTTAAAAGGTGAAATCTTTGCTTCACTTTCCCCACCACCTCTTCTTCTAGTTTTATAGCCCCTCACAATGGCTTTGCAACTTTTGACAGCAAGTCACCTTTTATATTGTGACTCAGCCATAGCAACGTATAAATATAACCAAAACATATATTCCACAAAAAGTACTTAGTGGTGTTCTGTGCAGCATGCACTGATAATTTTTCTTTCTTCTTTTTTCTTTTCTTTTTTTTTTTTTTTTTTTTGAGACAGAGTTTCACTCTGTTGCCCGGGCTGGAGTGCAGTGGCACCACCATGGCTCATGGCTCACTATAGCCTTGAACTCCTGGGCTCAAGCGATCCTCTTGCCTCAGCCTCATGAATAGCTGGGACTACAGGTGCTCACCACCATACCCGGCTAATTTTTTTTTTTTGGGGGGGTAGAGGCAGAGTCTTGCTATGTTCCCCAGGCTGTTCTCAAACTCCTAGCCTCAAGTGATCCTCCTGTCTCGGCCCCACCAAAGTTCTGGGATTGCAGGAGCGAGCCACCATGCCTGACCTCTTTTTTCTGTTCTTTTTTTTTTTTTAAGTTGATCATGACCCACCAAATTGATTTAATGATCAGTTAAAGTGAGATACAACTTGAGTTTGGAAAACACTGGTCTGGCTTCAGTACTCAGGCAGTGCTGCCAGGACATCTCATTTTCATCACATTTAGCTTGCAGCCCTGTGTATGTTTCATTCCAGCCCCTCAGTCAGTCTGTTAGAGATTATCGAATATGTTATCCTCATTTTATAAGTGAAGATATCAAGGCTCAGGGATATAAAATGGTCTTCCCAAGCCTCCCCAGTAGTCAGAAAACGTGGAGCCCATGCTTTCATTCCACTCTTCTGACTGTATGAATGGTGCTTTGGAGACCCAGTAACTCCTGCTGCCTCAAGGCTCACCCATTTTTCACTTAATTAATGTGTACTGATGGCTCGCTTTGGCCAGGCATGGTGCTGGGCTATTGGTACATAGTGGTAAACAATTTTTACACGGTTCCGGATTTGTGGAACGTTCAGTCACATTTGACATTAGTCCATTTCTTTCAGAGTGAGACCCTGAACCTTTGTATTAGCCTACGTGACCTTACATGATGAGTCCCTCAGCACCGCTCTGGGCTCATCTCCTACCCTGTCCCCCTTCTTCTTTCTTCTCCAAGCACATGAGGTGTGCTCTAGCCTCAGGGCTTTTGCACAGCCTGTTTCTCCGCCTGGTAAACTCTCACTCTAGATAACCTGCATAGCTGCTTTTGTCATCTCCTTCAAGTCTTTGCCGAAGGATTGCCTTCTAAATAAGATTATCCTGAATACTTTATTGAAATTGGAACTCCTTTCTCCCGTCTCATCAAGCTGGTACTCCCAATCCTCCATACTTTGCTCTGCTTTTCCCCCATGGCACTTTTTAATCTTTTAATCTTCTATTTTTATTTTTATTTATTTATTTAATTTTGAGACAGAGTCTCACTCTCTTGCCTAGGCTGGAGTGCAGTGGTGTGATCTTGGCTCACTGCAACCTCCACCTCCCAGGTTCAAGCAACTCTGCTGCATCAGCCTCTCTAGTAGCTGGGACTAAAGGCACGCACCATCATGCCCAGCTAATTTTTGTATTTATATTTTAGTAGAGACAGGGTTTCACTATGTTAGCCAGGCTGGTCTTGAGCCCCTGACCTCAGGTGATCTGCCCGCCTCAGTCTCCCAAAGTGCTAGGATTACAGGCGCGAGCCACTGTGCCCGGCTATCTTTTAACATTCTATATAATTTATTTATTATGTTTAGCATTTATTGTCTTTATCTGTGTCTACCTGCTAGAATGAAAGATAAAGGCCAGGAATGTTTGTTGGTTTTGTTCACTGCTCTATGTTCAGCACTCATCTATAACCTGGTACCTAGTAGGACTCTATACATTTTTTTTTACTTGACTAGATAGATGAAATAAACAACCATCAAGTTCAAAATATAATTAACAAATTATGATGTGGTCAGAGATTTAAAAAAGAAAAGAAAAGAAAAAAGCCCACGGGGTTTCATGAAAGAGTAGAACGGCAGACCTAATTTAGATTGGGTGGGTTAGAGGAAGTGACTTTTTTAGGCTGAGAACATAAGAGGGACTTCAGTTCCCAAATTCGTTAGCGCAGACTCTGCCATTGCAAGCCAAAGGAATGTAGCGTAAAGGAGAGATTTCACCCAAGCAGAAGCCTCTAAGAAGAGACAAAGTGATTCATTCATTTAGCAAACACCCTCTGATGGAAGGAGAGACGCAAGTCACATATTGGTGTTGCCCAAGGGCCAAAACACACGTCTGTCTTATTTAATCCCAGCAGCATCACTGAGGTTCTGCTCTTATCTCCTCTTGACAGATGAGGAAACCCAGGTGTTGAATAACTTCTCCAGATACATCCAGCTATTAAGAGACAGAGCTGGATTTCCAAATGAAGTGTCTTTGGTACCAAAGCTTGTGCCCTTTCACTCTCTGGGCACCTACTATGTGCTAGTTGTGCTATCAGGAACACGGCTTACACAGCCAAGAAGGGCATAGCCCCTGACCTGAAGAAGTTCACAATATCCCTTGAAAGACATGCTGAAAAACTTCCCTGATTAGGACACAGATTTTTTTCTGGCCCCATTTCTTTTACTTCTGGACATGCCTTCCTAGGTTACTGTTTTTCAAACCTTGATAATTCATCTTTTTGTTTTTGATAGCTACTGTGTTATCTATTGGTGAGTACCTCAAAATTCAGTGGCTTAAAACAACAATAAGCATTCATTATCTCAGTTTCTGTGGGGCAGGAATTTGGGAATGCTTCACCTAGTTGATCTGGCTCTGGGTCTCAAAGGATTGAGTCAGATTGTCAGCTGGAATTCTATTCATCTGAAGGCTTGTCTCGGGTGAAGGATCTGTTTCCAAGGTGATTCTCTCACAGGACTGGAGTTGGTGCTGGCTGTTGGCAGGAGGCCTCGGTTCTTTGCCAAATGTACCTTTCTGTAGTACTGCTTGAGCATCCTCATGGCATGGCGGCAGGCTTCCCAAAAAGCAGTGATCTGAGAGAGCAGGGTGGAAGCTGTAGGTCTTTTATGTGCTACTCCTGGAAGTCATACATTGTCATTTTTGCAATATCCAGTGGGTTACACAGGTCAGTCCTATTCATTATGGGAAGGTACTACACAAGTACATAAATACCAAGAGTTTGAAAAATCACTGGGGCAGTGGGGGGGGCATCATAAAGGCTGGCTAGTACAGCTACCTATCATCTGTAACATTATTTACTTAATATTTTCCACTTTTTGTTAAAATCAGCCTTATCCTAAACAATAATATCAGTTAAGTCACAATATTAATATGCTAATTATATTTTCCAGCAAAAAAATATAAACTTGTAATTATTATTATTATTATTGTTATTTTTGAGATGGAGTCTCACTCTCACCCAGGCCGGAGTGCAGTGGCATGATCTTGGCTCACTGCAACATCCCCCTCCCAGGTTCAAGCGAGTCTCCTGCGTCAGCCTCCTGAGTAGGTGGGATTACAGGCGCCTGTCACCATGACTCACTAATTTTTGTTTTTTTTTGCTTTTGTTGTTTTTCAGTAGAGATGGAATTTTGCCATGTTGGCCAGGCTGGTCTTGAACTCCTGACCTCGGGTGATCTGCCCACCTCAGTCTCCCAAAGTGCTGAGATTACAGGTGTAATACGTAGGCATGAGCCACCATGCCTAGCCAACGTTGTAATTATTCATGAAAAAAATTATCTGTGTATCACCTATGCTCGCTTGCATAGTTCCAGTAACACAAACGTTACCCTTGGGGAAACAGCAAGCCCAGCAAACAGGGATCTGTCAGAGTCCTGGAAGTTTTCATCATAAATTCCAGCTCTTCCCTCACTGTCCATTTGGAGCCCCAGAAGCTACAGGATGTTAATGTTGCTGTTTGCTGTCCTCTTCCAGGACCGCCTGTACTTTGTGATGGAGTACGTCAACGGGGGCGACCTCATGTATCACATCCAGCAAGTTGGCCGGTTCAAGGAGCCCCATGCCGTGTAAGTGAGAACTAGTGCTGTGCTTTCTCTTTGGGATAAATGGGTAGGTTAGTGGTTCCTTTGGGTGTGTTTTTTTTTTGTTTGTTTTTTTTGTGTTTGTTTTTTTGCCAAAGAGGGATTTTTAAACACCTCGGGCATCTTTTTGAAAAAATATTTAGCCAGGGAAGAAAGATGTTCTGCTTAATATGAGATGCTTCTTTTTTTTTTTCCTGACACCAGCTAATAACCTGAAGCTCAGCCAGACACCATGGCTCCTACCTGTAATCTCTGTTTTGGGAGGCTGAGATTGGAGGATCACTTGAGCTCAGGAGTTAAAGGCCAGCCTGGGCACCATGACGAGATCTCATCTCTATAAAAAATAAAAAACTTAGCTGGGGATGGTGGCGCACACTGTAGTCTCTTCTGAAAAATAAAACAAAACTCAAAGCTCTAAAACCACAGCTATTTATTTCTAATTCATGTCCCTGACTGCTTAGAAAGACCCTGTATCTTCCCTGGGGATTATCACTGTAGATGTTATGTGTCCATTTGCTAATATTTATTGAGAACTTACTATGAGCCAGGCCCTAAGTGCTTAACAAACATCGTCTCAACCCTGAGAATAACTCTGGGAGGGAGATGCTGCCACCTCTGCTTTACAAACAAGGAAATGGAGATGCAAGGTTTTGAAAGCTTGCTCATATTCATGGAGCTAGTAAGAAGCAGTTCCTGAATTCTGACCCCAGTGTTTCTTTGCCCATGTTCTTTATCTTACACCACTCTCCCTCTTAGATGCCTTCACTCCACGGGGGTGAAGGATCAAGGTGCTCAGTGGCAATGGTCTGTGGTTCCTGGGATGGGGAGACTGATTCTTGGTTGTTGGAAATGTGTTTCCTCTGCTGAGTCAACTCCATCCCCTTCAGTTTAAAAGGCAGCTACAGTCTCTTCTTTTCAGAACACAAATCTCATCATGTCACTCCCCTGCTTAGGAACATTGCAAGTTGTAGGAATCAGCAATGATAACCTCTCCTGGGGAGTTTGCTAAGATCTTACTGCCTCTCCATAGAGCCCCCAGAGCTCATCTAGAACCCCACCCTGTCATACCGGAGGCTGGGTGGCTCCCGCCCAGTTCAGCTTGCCCCCTCTCCTCCCACCTGGCCAGGTTGTGAGCACTGTGTTCTGATAGGATTTGCATTATTCTTGTGCTTCCAAATCTAGCCATTCATATCTCCTGGCACGACTCTAATAGGATTAGCTTTGCTTTTACTTCTAACATCTAATTGACCACAGGCTTTAATTCCATTGTCACACAAGACATGTCAAGACACTTTGCATAGTTCCCCAAAGCCCTGCCCAACCTTTGTGGCATAACTGGGCTTCCTAGTTCTCTCGAAACCTCTTTCTTTATGGGTTGACCTTCAATAAGAGGTTACACTTTAGACAGATGTTGTTTCTGATTCCAGCTGTGCCATTCATTCGCTATATAACTTGCCCAAGTTAATCTCTCTAACCCTCAGTTTCCTCATTTGAGGAATGGGAAGATAATAGTAGGACCTACCTTACAGCATTATTATTGGGATTAAATCAGGTAATGCCTAAAATGGTGCTAGGCAGATGGTAAACCTTCAACAGATGTTAGCTGCTATTGTCAAGATAATTTAACTTGCTATACAGTCTGAAAGTATAATTCTCTCTCTTTTTGTGGGGGTTGGGGGACAGGGTCTCACTCTGTTGCTCAGACTGGAGTGCAGTGACCCTGATTATAGCTCACTGCAGCCTTGATCTCCTGGGCTCAAGCAATGCTCTTGCCTCAGCCTTCCAAGTAGCTGGGATCACAGGCATGTGCCACCACTCCCAGTTATTTTTTTTCTTTTATTTTTAGTAGAGACAAGGCCTCACTATGTTACCCAGCTAGTGAAACCGTAATTCTCCATCCAGCTCATCATATCCCATGGCCCCCTCTCCACTATACAATTGCTGAACTTCTGCCTACCCCCAATTTGTCCTTAAGGCAACCCCATCACCTTCTAAACCACCCTGTGAATCCATCCGTACTCTCAGCATTTTATGAGCTATTTAGCTGACCATCCATGGGTTCTTTAATGCCCTGCACCTAGTTCAATATTGTATTGAATTCTGAGCATTGCCAAGCATATGGTGTCCTTGAGTTTCTCCATTGCCTTTTTTTTTTTTTTTTTTTTTTTTAAATTTCAGATTTTACGCTGCAGAAATTGCCATCGGTCTGTTCTTCTTACAGAGTAAGGGCATCATTTACCGGTAAGTGAATATTGCTGTACTTTCCATCTCTTCATCTCCCTCAGCTCCTCCCTGCCCTGCCTCTTTCTTCAGCTGCTTTTAAAATTAGAATCCGTGGTGGGGGAGGAATCCTCCAGAACTAACTTGGGCATGTGTTCTGCCAGGCAGCATCGCCCACTGCCCTGGCAAAGTTTGGACAGCTCTATATGGTGGTAGAAAATCTCGATGGACTGTGTCACCAATGATGGTTCAGAGCCTCAAACAGGAGACCATTTGCTCTAAGAGGAGACTCACAGAGAGGACCCCAGTACTTCTTTCTCTTGCTTGTGGACCCTACATTTGAGGAGCAGACAAAGAATTTTGGCTGGCAGAATGTGATGGATCACATTATTATGAAACATTATTTATTTATTTATTTATTTCTGCTATGTAACTACAACTTGGAAATGGATCTCTGAGTGGCTGCTCTGAAAGACAGGATTAAGTTCAGGACTTGGCATCTGCTGGTATTTGGAGGAGCAAATGGATGATCATAGCTGCATGAGTCACATCGTTTTATATTTCATGCAAGGCGGACGATTGCACCCGAGGCTGCTATTTGTCAGCGAGTCCAGGGCGTACAATTCTCCTTGTACTACGTCGATGCAAATGGCATAGCCAGTGCAGGCTTGGGCTGGTTTGTTATGCAAGAGAGGCTGCAAGGCATGAGGCTTCCAAACAGCGCTTGGCATGGGTGGGGGGGGGGTCTATTTCAAAGATTATGAAGAACCACAAAAGTCTATTCCATTCATGCATTTGACACATATTTATCAAATCCTACTATATTCTAGGCACTCTTGTGGGTGGTGGGCATACAGAAGTGAATAAAACAGATGAAACCCCTTGCCCCTGTGGAGTTTATCTTTTCGTGGTGGGAGACAGATAAGTGAATCATAAAAACATAGTCTGCCAAGTAGTGATAAGTACTATGGAGATAAATCAAGCAGGGGAGGGTGCTGGTGTACCCTGCGTGTTGGAGGGTTCCCTCTCATTCTGTAGAGAGCGTAGTGATGAGAGCCTGGAGAGTTAGGGGTGACTTGGGAGTCCTGGGCCTTTTGCTTTAACTGCGGGATATGGGATTAAAAGGCATGAGGGGGCTGGGCACAGTAGCTACCACCTGTAATCCCAACGCTTTGGGATGCCGAGGCAGGAGGAATGCTTCAAGCTAGGAGCTTCAGACCAGCCTAGGCAACATAGTGAGGCCCCCATCTCTAAAAATAAAATACAATTAGCCAGGTGTGGTGGTGCATACCTATAGACCTAGCTACTCAGGAGGCTGAGGTGGGACGATCAATTGAGCCCAGGAGTTCAAGGATGCAGTGAGCTATGATCATACTACTGCATTCCAGCCTGGGTGACAGGGCGAGACCCTGTCTCAAAAAAAAAAAAAAAAAAAAAAGGCGTGATAAGATTAGCCCTGGTAAGTACAAGGCAGATAGTGGAGGCAAGGCTATGGGGTCCTGGCAGGACGGAGGGATGGGAAGTGGGGGCCTTGTCAGAAGCTTTCAGAGTCCTGGAACTTTTAGTCACACCTTGGAGTGCTGATATGAAATCTATAGGGGGAAGGATAATCTTATTCTGAGTGCACAAAGTTCCTGCCATTCCTACTTTCTCCTAATGATGGAGGGAAGAAGGTCAAGAAGAGGAGTGGTTTTACTTGGCATGTGGGTGATCCTAGTGAAAGTGTGAAAATAGAGAGAAGACGAATTTAGAAGCTGAGGCAGGAGGATCACTTGAGCCCAGGAGTTCGAAACTGCAGTGAGCTATGATTGTGCCACTGCACTCCAGCCTGGGCAACAGAGCAAGACCCTGTCTCTAAAAAAAGAATTTAAATTTTAAATAGTATGCTCATTCTGTCCATGCCCACGTTTGCCCTCAGTGAACACATTAGCTCTGTGTGCATGAAATGGCACGTGGAAATAATCTAATTCCCTTAGTTTCTCTTTTGACTGTCATAGTGACAATATCATTTTGTGCTGAATATAATTCTGGTGTTGAAAGATACACATGAGGCTGGGGGCAGTGACTCATGCCTGTAAACCCAGCATGTAGAGAGGCTGAGGCGGGCAGATTGCCTGAGGTCAGGAGTTGGTGACCAGCCTGGCCAACATGGTGAAACCCCATCTCTACTAAAAAAATACGAACATTAGCTGGGTGTGGTTGCACATGCCTGTAATCCCAGCTACTTGGGAGGCTGAGGCAGGAGAATCGCTTGAACCCAGGAGACAGAGGTTGTGGTGAGCCAAGATCACCCTGTTGCACTCCAGCCTGGGCAACAAGAATGAAACTCCATCTCAAAAAAAAAAAAAAGGTGCATATGGTCTTCCATATGATGTGATGATGTGATCCCTAAATTCAAGCCAATGACTTCAGCTAGTGCTTAACCACAGAGACAGGGATCATGGGTGATTTTTCACTCTACATGATTTTCAACTTGGGTGCTGACATTAGGACCTAACTCCTATGTGGGATGTGCCTCTACTAAAATAGAACCAACTGGATTCTTGAGAAGATTAAACATGGAACTACAAGTTTGTTGGAAGAAAATCCAGTCCCAGTGTAGGAAACAGGAAAGGAAATAATTAGAGTTCTAGTCAATTGAGTTGTGATTCAGGGCTAGTTTCTAATCAATCAGGAAGCCGCGTTGGGATCTGGGATCCATGAATCCAGATCCAGGTGGTAAAATTCAAAGACTAGCATTTCAGGTGCTAATATGATACCTATTCCAAAGCCCCTTTTCCTAAACTAACTACATACTCTCCCTTTAATCTTCCACTATTAATATGGTCTTTAAAGGGATATTTATCAATCTTTTAGGCCAGTCTTCATCTGAACCCCTCTTTTGCGTATGTGTAAGAACAGAGTCAATCTCCTACTATAGATAATGAAAATGACAGATACTCATTTCACAGCCCCCCTGTAGCCAGGGCAGGCACACAACACAAGCACTGACACTTGGTCATACTTACTCAAGACCTTGAATCAGAAACTAGTGGCCAAGAAAGCAGAAAGCACAGTATCAAGAGAGGCCATAGTAATTATCAGCAGTTACTTTCCAGAGGCAAGAGAAGAGGGTCTTAACAGCAATAGGCAGAGTCCAGCTTAGGGCTTCGTGGAATAAGGGGTGATATTTGTGTCCCATGGCAACTTGGGTGGTGGTGTCATTGGACAAGCTCTGAGTTGCAGTTAGGCATCGTTTTGGGCTTTATAGACTCTTAATCTGGTTCTTCAATCTCCTCAAAGATTCCGTGAGCTCCCCAATATCCTTTGATGAATTCCTTTTCAGGTAAAAGTCATCACAGTTGGTTTTTGTTGCTCACCCTCCAGAACACTTCTTGGAAATAGACTTCTTGAAATTGATAGTCAAATAGGAATGGTAAAAAATAAATTACTTGACAAAAGATGTATGGTTTTGTCATTTCATAGAGATTGCCTTCATAGTGGTAGTCTTTTAAGATGTTACAAATCACTACCTCCTTCATCTAAATCTCTCCTTAATTGAACAGTTCTTAAGTAAAGAGGATGAAGGATTTTGTTAGACTTACCGTCTTTAAGGAAATGGAGATGTTGTGTTGGGGGGCGAGGAGGGAAAAAGATTCTTCCTATCAAACTTGGTTTCTGATTTACCAATCACTATATCTGGAATGTGTGTTGGTTTTGCCCTTGATGGTTTTCTGAAAAATGAAAATAATTTCTCCATCCATCTTTTGAAGCAGAAATGAGGATTTATTACATAGAACAAAAGATTAGGGTGTGATATCAAAACACTGCTATGTGATGGTAAAGATGACAGAGGTGCCCTCCAGCCTCAGGACTGCCTGGCTCTTGGCACCTGAAACTTCTTTTCTATAATAGATGAAGATTTTATCACTTCCCTAGTCTACCCAGCTGCCTGCTTCTGGGCATGTGGTCCCGCTGAAGGGATGTCATTTGTCACTATTAGAGAAATCACAAATATCACATATAGACCTACCTAGTAAGTTTAGGAAAAGCAAATTGCTGCAAAGCCTGGGTTTTCTGAGTTCCAAACTTTCACTCAAATCACGGTGGCTTGTAGATGAGCATGAAGGCTGGATACGAGCAGCACCATGGACAGCACCAAAGGCATGGCGTGTTGGGATTGGCAAACATCAGTGGGCGAGTGCAAGTGGACCTCCCCCTCCCTTTGAATAAGGAGAACCCACAGACACAGATAGGAGATGCCAGGATATAGTTTTCAGATTGTATTCTTTTAGTCGGAAATGAAGACAGTAACTCAATTCAAAGTAACTGAGGTTAAAAGAGGCATTTATTGGCTGACATAACTTAAAAATCCAGGCACAGATCTGACTTTAGGCCTGGATACATGCAGAGGCTCAAGTGCACGTTATGAGGGCACACTTTATCATCCTCCCTCTAGGCTCTACTTTCTCTATATTAGATTGCTTCTCTTCATCTGGTGACCCCTGGAGTTTCTAGACTTCCATAATACCACCTGAACAACCCCAATGTAAAATGCACTTATCCCTTTCTTGATTGTGCCAGCCAAAGTGCCGGCACTAATACTTAACAGCTTTGATTGGCTCACATTGGATCACATGCCCATTCCTGAATCAATCACTGTGACCAGAAGAATGGAATATTTCCATTGGCCAGGACAGGCCCATGTGACCATTCCTGGAGCCATGTTACATGGAAGCCATGTTACACCCATGGCAGAATTGGATGAGGGTGTTTCTTCTAGGGAATATTAGAATGCTGTCATCACAAAATATTAGAATAGGCAGAACCACAGATGCCCACTGCCCAATGAAGATGACCAAAGGGAAACATCTGAATTAAGCAATAGATCCCCCTACCTCTCAGGAAGTCGGAGTTCCCCATCTTCTATTAGGACTGGAACCATCTGATCCATCACTCAGCCTTGCTCACTGGTGCTGAAATATAAAGCATTGACATTGGAGTAGGTGTTTAGGGAGGAGGAAAGTGTGTTGATATTGGATCCATCTTGTGTGCTAAAGACTACAAGTGATCCCCAAAATATCAAGCTCTTCTCATCAACACAGATGAAAATAAAAGAGAATACAGCACATATCCTTTAGGTTAGAGCTCAAATGTCACCACCTTAGAGAGGTCCTTTCTGACTGACACCCTGCTTAAAGTGACTTCCTCTAATCACTATCTTATGTCTTCTTTATTTTCATCATACCACTTATCAGAATCTATAATAATCATGCTTATAGAGTAATTGTTATCTTTTGCCCAGCACTGAAATTTTATCTGAAGAACAGGAGGCTTGTCTTGTTTACAGCTACATACTACATCCAGGCATAGTGCCTGTCACATAGTAATTGTTCAACAATTTGTTTGTTTGTTTGTTTTTGAGACGGAGTCTCGCTCTGTCACCCAGGCTGGAGTGCAGTGGCACTATCTCGGCTCACTGCAACCTCCGCCTCCCGGGTTCAAGCTATTCTCCTGCCTCAGCCTCCCGGGTAGCTGGGACTACAGGCGCCCGCCACCAAGTCCAGCTAATTTTTTATTTTTAGTAGAGACGAGGTTTCACCATATTGACCAGGCTGGTCTTGAACTCCTGACCTTGTGATCCAACTGCCTTGACCTCCCAAAGTGCTGGAATTGCAGATGTGAGCCAACATGCCCGGCCAAATATCTTTTTATTCAAAGAATCAATGGAAACTCCTGGGTCATGTCCTAGGAGGTAGTCCAAGAGATCAGGGAACACTTCCTTCAATCAGCTTTTTTTTCTTTGTCATCTTCAGAGATATTTTAAAAAATAATAATTTTGTGGAAAATGTATCTTCTTACAAAATATAAGGGGTCTTTAAGTTGCAAAGGAAAATTCTTGGAATTTTCCTGGATCCAGGAAGTGTCATGGATGCTCTGCCCTTTGCTTAACTTTCTGTGGATCTCCCTCTTTTCAGAAGTGCTGTCTCTTTGTGTCCTTGTGAGACACTTGGCACAGTTGGCTCTGTAGAAAAAGAAAAGCACGGAGGTTTGTGGACCTCTTTTTATTTCCCTGCCAGATTGTAAGCTGTTGGAGGTCAAAGGCTGGTTGCTACTGACCTTTGTGCCCACACAACACCTAACACAGTGTTTTATGCATAATGAGTGGCTGTTGCTTGGCTTGAAATGCATAGCAATTAATTAAATCTCTAAATTCTTGTGTCTGCCATAGTGACCTAAAACTTGACAACGTGATGCTCGATTCTGAGGGGCACATCAAGATTGCTGATTTTGGCATGTGTAAGGAGAACATCTGGGATGGGGTGACAACCAAGACATTCTGTGGCACTCCAGACTACATCGCCCCTGAGGTGAGAGCTGCGGGGCACACGTTCACATTGCAGTGATGTACCCTCTGCTCCCCAGATGGCCGTGTGAGAGCTGGGAAGGGTCGAGGGTGGTACCTTGCAAGGGAACCTCGGGCAGAATCTTATTCTATACTCTAAATCCTCCCTTTGAGATCACACATGCAAATTAATTTAGCACACATCCAGAAGCCCAAGCCCAAAATACATCAAGGTTTGGGAGAAAATTTAAATAAAACTCAAAAGAACCATCCAACACACATCAGTAAAATTCTTCATCAGACTGCTGTGGCCCACAGCCATGTGATACCGCCTAATTGTGACATCGGAATGTTTGTCGAGAGAGAAAGAGCAGATCCCCTGGGCTGGCATATGACATGGGATCTGTGTCCTGTATATGTTCCTCAGTAGGAAAATGGACAATAGCCCATGATTTATTTATAGCATGAAATACTACCAGGCACCAATTCAGAAGAGTGAGTTAGATATGTATGTAGATATGAAAAGATCTTCAAGACACATTGTTAGAGAAAAAAAAAAAAAAATCAAGATACAGAATGACAAATACAAGGCCGGGCACGGCAGCTCGTGCCTGTAATCCCAGCACTTTGGGAGGCAGAGGCAAATGGATCACTTGAGCCCAGGAGCTCCAGAACAACCTGGGCAACGTGGTGAGACCTCGTCTCTACAAAAAAATACAAATATTAGCCAGGTGTGGTGGCACGTGCCTGTAGTCCCAGCTACTTGGGAGACTGAGGTAAGAGAATCACCTGAGCCCCAGGAGGTCCAGGCTGCAGTGAGCCGTGATTATGCCACTGCACTGCAGCCTGGATGACACAGTAAGACCCTGTCTCAAAAAAAAAAAAAAAAAAAAAGAAAGAGGAATGACAACAATGTGATACTATTTATGGATAAAACAGAAATACACGGAACACTGCTCTGTTTTCAACTAGTAAAAGCATACAAAAATCTAGAAGATTTCAGACTGATTTTATAACACTGGTTACCTCTGAAGATAAGGGAATTGTAAAGAGAAATTTAGCTACTTCTGTATACTGCTGACATTTTTTTTTACAAGGTAAATATATTTGTATATTACTTGAGTAATAAAGTAATTCAAAAATAATAAGGCTTTATTCAGACCCAATGAAGTTTTCCCAATGTGATATACTTTGGTCTATTATCATTTTGTTAATTAATTAGATATGACACAATCTATAACACAACTTCCTGATAGGCCGTGGGTTCCATAATCTCTGGTTCTCAACTCTAACTGCAGTTTAGAGTCATGAGAGAGCTTTTATGATGTAGGATGCAGCTGGGGCATGGTGGCTCACCCCTGTAATCTCAGCGCTTTGGGAGGCTGAGGCAAGAAGATCGCTTGAGGGTAGGAGTTTGAGACCAGACTGGACAACATAGTGAGACCCTAATCTCTACAAAAAAAATAAAAATAAAAATTCGCCCAGTGCACTAGCTTACACCTGCTGTCCTGACTACTCAGGAGGCTAAGGAGGGAGGATCGCTTGAGCCCGGCAGGTGGAGGCTGCAGTCAACAGTGATCATGCCACTGCACCTCAGCCTGGGAAACAGAGCGAGACCCTGTCTCAAAAGGAAAAAAAACAAAACCAAAAAACCCACAGACAAACAAACAGAAAACAATGTGGGCTGCTCAAATGCCATCCCATTAGAATCTCTGCAGGGCGAGGCCCAGGATTTGGGGTTCTCAGAAGTTCCTCACTGGTGGTGATCCAGACAAGCACAAGAAACCCTGAACTGTGTTTCTGATGAAGTTGCCTCCCCTCCAGCCTGCAGATGGGAGGGATAAGCTGCAGGTCAGGCTTTGTCATGAACTAACCACATCACCTCTGGCAACTGGTCTCACATCCCAGGCTCTAGTTTCCTTTGTAAAAAGATTGGCTTGTTGGGTTGTCATGAGGATCAAACAAGACTTGAAGTACTTTAAAAGTGTGAAAACACTTTCAATGAGAAGTGTTCTCCTGGAATGCTTTCCCTTCCTTGTCTTGTGGGTTACTTCTCAGAACGCATTTCATTCGTTCATAATTGACAAGTAAAATTGTATACATTTATCATGTGCAACATGTTCTGAAATACGTATACATTGTGGAATGGCTAAGTTGAGTTAATTAACATATTTATTATCTCACATACTTTTTTTTTTGTGGTAAGAACACTTAAAAATCCCTCTTAGCAATTTTAAAGAATACAATAGATAGTTATTAACTATAGTTACTGTGTTGTACGATAGATCTCTTGAATTTATTCCTCCTACTTAACTGAAATTTCATATCCTGTAATCAACATCTCTGCATTTCTGATTTTGGAATAGAAATCAAAGTGGGAGATAGAGATCAAGAAACGGCCATTCACTTTATAGCCAAGTTTGCTCAAATACCCTTTTTGAGTTAAACAAGCAGTAACTGAATTATAAAACATTCTAGGATTAGTTAACATTTTGAGGGCATAATATGTGAAAGCCACCTACTATCTCACATAACCCCATGATATAGATATTATAGAAGTTAAGTAACTTCTCCTGTGATCAGACAACCTACCAGTAGACAGCAGTCAGGATTCAAAGTCAGACTGCCTAACCCTCAGGCCTCAGCCTTTAGCCTTTGCTATATTACCTCTTAACCTCTGACATGGTTAGTTTTACATCCCTACATGCTGAAAGATGGACCGTCACATGGCTCTTCTAGACTTTTCCATGTTCTGGCAGTTTGGGAATATGAATTAAAAACTTCACAACCGCATATACCACATGATCCACCAATTCTACATCTAGGAGTTTATCTTAAGGAAATACTTGGACAGATGTCCAAATGTCTAATTGCAAGAATATATGTTACAGCATAGGAAGAGACCTAATCAATTGGAAATTTATAAGATAGATTTGGGTGTATCCATTCAACAGAATGTTATGCAGAGATAAAAACTGATTGTGTTCATATACAAATATTAAATTAGCAAGGAAAATTTAAGTGAATAACTGGCTTTATTAAAGATCTATTGCCCATAATCCCAGTGCTTTGGGAGGCCAAAGTGGGAGGATTGCTTGAGTTTGAGTTCAGTCTGGGCAATATAGAGAGACCCCGTCCCTACAAAAAATTAAATAATTAGCATGGTGGTGAGCACCTATAGTCCCAACTACACAGGAGGCTGAGGTGCAGGGATTACTTGAGCCCAGGAGGCCAAGGCTGTGAGCTATGAGCTATGATCTTGCCACTGCACTCCAGCCTAGGTGACAAAAAGAGACACTATCAAAAAAAAAAAAAGAAAAGAAAAAAGAAAAAAAATGGTCCACATACCAAAGTGTTTATGTAAAGCACACACATACACACAGAGTTTAATATGTATTCAGAGAAAAGAGTATGGAATGAAGTAGACCAAATATTAGTCATAATTTTTCTCTTAATAAAGGATTATGGGTGATTTTCATGTTATCATCTCAGCTTAGCTATCTTTTATAAAGAAATAGTAAAATAGTAACAAATATTATTACCTCTTAAACGTTTTTATTTGTAATTATGTTTTAAAAACATGTAACATAAAATTTACTATCTTAACCATTTCTAAGTGTACAGTTTAGTAGTGTTAAGTATATTTACATTATTGTGTAAATGTTATAACTTTTACAATGAAGAGTAAAGACAGTTTTTCTTTTAAAAATTCCATGCTCACTGTTTTGAAAATAATGATAATAATAATACACCGTATTTAGTGCTTCGAAAAGGCAATGTGACAGCCACAGGTGTTTGCCCAGCTGCAGGTGCCTCTGCAAAGAATGTCTGTCATTCCCTGAGTAGCTAATGTAAAGAAATAGCTCAGGTGGGCACTAGCCTTCTTGTAAAAGAAGAGTGGAATCTGTCTCCAGAAGATACATGAACTGCAAACCTCCCTGATAGGATGCCTTCTGTTTTCTAGATAATTGCTTATCAGCCCTATGGGAAGTCCGTGGATTGGTGGGCATTTGGAGTCCTGCTGTATGAAATGTTGGCTGGGCAGGTAATTGAATTTTAAGTGATCGATAAGAGAAGTCCTCTCTACCCCCATCCACATGGTTTCCTTAGGAGAATGCATGTTTGGTAACAGCTCATAAATGGAAACCTCTATGACTTTCCCGGCCTTGGGGTCATACAAGTCCGTGGTCATTTGAAAGCTGGGTGTGTGGCTTCACTGTAGGCCCCAGGGAGGAGAGTCTGCCAGTTGAGGGGGGCTCTGGGGAGGGTTCAAGCAGGGATTCTTCTCCTCCCACCCTCCCCTGTCATACAGGCACCCTTTGAAGGGGAGGATGAAGATGAACTCTTCCAGTCCATCATGGAACACAACGTAGCCTATCCCAAGTCTATGTCTAAGGAAGCTGTGGCCATCTGCAAAGGGGTAAGTACATCTCTTAAAGCTGTGGCCAGGACCACCCTATACAGGCATGTGGGATGTACCTTGCCCAAGGACACCCCACCACGGGGGGGGGAACAGAGCCTGAACTCCACCCTTCACTCTGTTTGGCAATATGAGAACCCTGGCATGGAGCTGCTACCTCCCAGAGGAGAGAGCGCTTTTTTTCTGATTTGCACAGAAGTGCCACAGAGAGCTGCCTGCAGCTGCGTCTTGCTGCTGGCTGGGCTGCAGTCTCTGAACCAGCACAGGGGAATGCTCATTGAGTGAATGAGGTAGAAAGCACAGAGATTTTGTCAAAGAGCTGGAAGTAGTGGGAAAGGGCACAAGAGGTCTTCGGCACAACTCAGGCTATCTTGCCCTGCTCTGCTGTATGTGTTTAGTTAATACCAAGAGCGTGCAACTTTTGTTCTAAAAAATACCAGGCAGTGTTGAGGTTAAGGAATTCTCTAGATAAGCAGACTGAAATTCAGTGTACTCAAAATCCCACTGTCCCCTCTCTCCCAACATGCACACAAATGGCTCAAAGGGAATGCACGCTTGTACGTCTACAGTTTATACACAGGGCACCTGCGAAGAAAGCAGGACGTGTGTTTGTGGGGAGGGATTGTTTGTTTTGCGTCTTGTGTTGGACCAAGGCATACTCACAGTGACTTGTGTGAGATCCTAAGGATCAGTGATGCTCACTTTTGGAGCCATCAGGATAACCTGAAGTGCCTTACCAGAATGCACATGCTTCTGCCTCACCCCAGAGATTAAGTCTGGGTATGAGTATTTTGGAAAAGTCTCCATTTGGCTTGCACACCACTGCCTTTAAACATACTGTCCAAATGAAGTGATTTTTCAACTCTGATGGAAGCCTGAAAGCAATCAAATTAGATGCCCAGAAAATATGTTCCCAGCGTAATATACTAATAAAGAATTTGCTCTCCCACCACCCAGTGGTACAGGTTAGAACATGGCCATGCCTTAATCAGCGGGTTCCCACCTGTGTGTCTGAATAAACCAGGGCTGCCAGTCCTACATCTGTGGGATGCTTACAGACTTTTCATGCCCTACTTTGCTCTTCCTGACCCCAGCCAGATGCTGAATGCACTGGTTTGGGTGAAGGAAAGCTGGGAAACTCAGGCAGGCCAATCTGAGGTTTGGCCCAGTTTGGAATAGCTGGGCCAGCCTCTCAGCCTAAAAGCACCTTGTCACACTGCCTAAATTCCCACTCTCAGTGAATCACCTAAGGTTTGCACCTCAGCTCCATAGGCTAAGATGCACGTATCCCTGGGGAAACCACCTGTGAATTAATCTCAATCCCGAACATCTAAAGTGAATTGCTTGAAAATATTTTCTTTGAGGGTGTGAGGCAGGGAGAGGGAAAATGAAGAATAGAGAGGGGAGTCGCAGAGGTGCATTAGGAACCTAAGCAAAGCCCATAAAGAAAAAGAAGGCACACACGAAGGCCTGTACAGGCCCCCATAGACATGGTATTGAAGGGTGGGAGGGGTAGACAGAAGGTGGCACCTGGAGCTTTTAATTTGTTTAATAATTGCCAGCATATAAGGATCAGGAGATTTCTCATAAACATTCAGCTTTCAGGTTTCTCTTGAAAAATCAGATCTTGCCACATTGGCTTGTCATTCTTACAAAGCACCAGTCAGCTAGATTGGAAACCACTGCCCTCTGTAGTTGGGGCTTGCCCTCTGTAATTCACAGAAATTCTCACCTGGCCAATTCTACCCAAGTTCAAATCCTGGTTCAGGCATTAATTGCCCTCAGACCATGGGGAAGTTGTTTGACGGCGTCTGCAGATTGGGAATAATAATAGCAGTCCACACAGGGTTCTTTGATGATTAAATAGCTGAATACTGTAAATCACTTCGAGTAGAGGCTGGCACTCTGCTCCAAACCCCTTGGAAGTTATTATTTCTATTACTAGTGCTGACACTATTGTGTTATCTGCCTGGTTCCTCTTGGCATTTGAGTTTGCATCCCTTGGAACTGCGACTTTTAAAGTAGGAGATTTGGAGATCAAGAGACCCTTTGCAAATCTTTACCCTTCCATTTTCTAAGTGCAGGGTCTTTTTTTTTTTTTTTTTTTTTTTGACAACATCTCACTCTGTCACCCAGGCTAGGGTGCCGTGGCATGTTCATGGCTCACTGCAGCCTTGATCTCCCAGGCTCAAGTGATCCTACTGCCTCTGCCTCCCAAAGTGCTGGGATTACAGGCATGGGCCACTGCACCCAGCCTAGGTGCAAGATCTTGAGCCACTTCCTTTGCATCTCTGTGCTTCTGTTTATTTTAAAAAATGAAATAGTAGTACTCACTGAAAAGAGTTTTTGAGAGCATTACATGAGATAACATAAGGGAAAGCTCCTTGCATGACGTGGGCACATAGTAGGTGTTCAGTACATGCACAGAGTCCTCCCCTTCACATGCCCGCCCTGCCTGGACAGCTGGGGGTTCTAAGTGGGTCATGGAGGAGAGGATTTTCCAGGTCAGCTGTCTTCAGCTTCAGCTCCAATTAGCAGTTTCCCTGGTAGAGCCATTTTCTATTAATTCAGGACCCATAACCTTCATGATTAACTGGGGTGACTCTCTTACTATTGAGTTTGGGGACCATTATTAATTGAGTGGGCTGAGTCCAATGCGGGCTCTTCCTTCAAGGAGGGTACTCCAGAAACGAGTGACGCGCAAGCGAACAGCCAAATGCTTCCTCCAGAACAGCGAGCCCCAGGGGATGCGTCTGGGAGGTGATCAGAGATTGGAACAGTGATTAAATCCAGCTGTCTACATGGCTTCAGGCACATTAGAGCAAGAGTGTGGGAACTGGGCAGAGACTCCGAATTAATGCTGGATGTTTCTGCAGTGCCTTTTCTTTGCTTGGCATCCTCCTGCTTAGACAGAAATTCAGTTGAGCTTTTGAAAACAGTCTCCTGTTTAATTGAAGCAGTGTCCTTTATATGTCCATCCCCTCAAAGGCCCGATTTTCTACCTCCCTTCCCCCCAAAAATTAATAAAACCTTACTCAGAGGGCTATGCCCACTTTGAACAAACTTGAAGCAAACAGAAGCCCAAATAGGCCGTACCTTAGGGTGAAAACCAGCAGACACTGAACAGCTGAGACTGTTCAGTGAACATAAAGCTATAAGAGTCCTGAGCCAGGCAGAGCTGTTCAAAACCTTGCCCTGCTCCTTAGCTGTTTGACCTTAGACAGATGACTTGACTTCTCTGCACCTACATCCTTTACCTGGAAAACGGAGGATAAGAGTTGCTGAGGCCTCAGAGTATTGTTGCAAAGGTTAAAGAGTAATGGGTAACAGCTGGGAAGCCTTTAGCACGGAGCCTGAATGCATATGATGTCGTCATGCTCAGTACACGGAAGCCATTATTGATATTATTATTATTATCAGTGTGAACCAAAACCTCCCTGCCCTTTCATTCCTCACATCCTAATCTTACACAAATGTCAAGGCTTGACTCAATTTCCTCACCCTCCATAAACCTCTCCTGACAAAGCCAGGTCACAAAAATTCCTGAGAAAACCACGTGTGAAATGTGCTCCCATTTTTCTTAATAGCCCAAGTTTTAGAGCTAGGCAGTGGTGGAGTCTGCACCCAGCTCTTACTGACTGCCACTTCCTATCTCTTGAGTCCTTGCTGTTCCTCAACTTCTCTGAGTGTGCATTGCCTTTTTATTCAAATGGGAAAAATAGTATACTCACCTCATTGCGTTATTGCAATGATTGGGGAAGATCGTGCATGTAAATAAAGAGGTAGCTAGCTTAGAACGTAAGTGCTCAGTTAATTTCCCCACCCTGGAGGATACGGTTTATATGACAAGTACATGCTTGTGTGTGTGACCACAAATTATCTTGTAAGGGGGCAACAGGCTGAGTGACTGTCCGGCAGTGTAGGAATGAATTTCTGGGTTCATCCTTTCCCCATCATCCGCAAGTCCTGGGCAGAAGATTCTGCCATCGTGGGCTGCTCAGTGTGATGTCAACTCTGGAAAGCTTTTGGACTTGTATTTTTTTTTTTTTAAATTAATCACCAACTCTTCCGTCTTTACCCTCTGTGCATTTGCTCAAGTCTTGAGATCAGAGATATTTTCGTGCTGCTTTGGACTCATTTACAAGAGGAAGCCTGTCTGGTTTCATCTTAGAGCATCTATTCATCTTGTTATTTAGCACTCAGAGACCCAAAGATGGAGGGTTTTGATAATTAAGTAATTTAAACGGAACACCAAAGAAACCTCAGCGGCGTTGTGTGTAATGTATGATACAAGGGAAATGAGCTGGGCTAGGTTTTGACTGTTTAATGAGCTTTCAGAAAGTAATTACTTGAAACTTGGGCCCCTTTGACTAATACTTTTTCTTCTGTTTTGTCATTTTTGCAAGTGCTTTACTGAGAAATGCAAATGGTATCTGAATGAATGTAGCCTTTGCTTTTGTCAAATTCCAGTTTTCTTGTTGTGGGAGGAGGGAAGTTTGAAGATATTGAAACTGTCCTAATTAAATGCACTGGTAATTGCACAAAACTTATTCTTAAACCGAAATGGATCATGTGGCATTTCTTTTTTTCTTTCTTTTCTTTTTTTTTTTTTTTTTCTTTTTGAGACGGAGTCTCTCTCTGTCGCCAGACTGTGGAGTGCAGTGGTGCAATCTCAGCTCACTGCAACCTCCGCTTCCTGGGTTCAAGGATTCTCCTGCCTCAGCCTCCCGAGTAGCTGGGACTACAGGTGTGTGCCACCACATCCAGCTAATTTTTGTATTTTTAGAAGAGACGGGATTTCACCATGTTGGCCAGGATGGTCTTGATCTCTTGACCTTGTGATTTGCTTGCCTAGGCCTCCCAAAGTGCTGGGATTACAGGCGTGAGCCACTGTGCCTGGCCCTCATGCAGCATTTCTAACTTGAAGTTCAGGGTCACATTCAGGCTTCGTTTTGATTAACCGTAAGAGATGATCGGCAGCAGGTCCTGTTATCAGGTCCTCTCCTACAAAGTCCTGGTTGGGATTTTTTGCTGAAATAAAAAGCAAAGAACAAAAATGAGTTGAGATTCTTCATTTGTGCTTTCTTTCCTAATGCCTTGGAGTAATGATTTCTGAGTGTCTCACATTTCCTCTTCTGAAACTCATCAAATACAATGTTTTTCTTTCTCTCAAAGCTGATGACCAAACACCCGGGCAAACGTTTGGGTTGTGGACCTGAAGGCGAACGTGATATCAAAGAGCATGCATTTTTCCGGTATATTGATTGGGAGAAACTTGAACGCAAAGAGATCCAGCCCCCATATAAGCCAAAAGCTGTAAGTAGCCCATTCTCTCTGACTGCCGACTATTCACATACAAGGTATTCTTGCCCGTTCCCCGTGTTTTCCAAATGCTTCCTGAGGGGTAGACATCAGTGTGTCTACTGGAACGTGGGTGTATGTGTTCACACATGTGCACAAAGTCACTGGGTACAAAGATGGACATTTCCATTGGCCCAGCTCCGTCTCTATAAAGATGGAAACGATGATGCCTATTGAATTTTTGTTTCATTGATTCAATTACTGTAACTATCTTAGCTGACAACTTTCTGAGAATGGTTCTTGGGTGAGCAGAGTTCAGATCCATTTTTGGACTATGATAAAGGATCTAACTTTGCCCTCATTCTTTCTCTTGGTTCAACTGTGTCATTTTCTCTTCATACCGATATTGAAAAGGTCATGTTGTTTATCTCAACAGTATTTAAATTTAATTCTGAAACATACACTATGTCTGAGTCAGTAAATAAGATGGCAGTTCAGCAGTCAGCTCCCACCCAAGGCAAAACAGAGTAAAGCAGAGACTGACGTCCTCTTGAACTGAAGACCCCCCCCTGGAGGGTTTGGGTGTGGAGACGGCTTTGACATAACTTTCATAATGCAAGAATAAAACTCTCACATTTCCCACAGTCCACGTACCCACAGGAAGGTTTTCTATCCCCAAAGACTCAGCAGGGAGTACTTGTCGGCATCAGGAAAGAAGAGTTTGCACCTGAATTAATCAAACTGTGATTCTGCTGGGAGGATATTTCTTTGTGAAATTAAATAGAGGTCAGACCTGGTGACTCCATGATGGGTCGTAAAACTACTGACTGAGGCTGAAGACTGAACATAAACACCGTCATTGAAACCTAACGTTGTAAGGGTTTGAGTGTTAAGATGAAGAAGATAATAATGGTAGTTATTTTGATACTAGTATTGTTATTCCTTTCTTGAGCACTTACGTGCTAGGCACCGTATTAAGCATTTCTCATGCAGCATCTAATTAAATCCTCACCACAGCCTGTGAAGGAAGGTGCTGTCATTCCATGTTACGGAAGAGGAAACAGGGGCTCAGAGGGGTTAAGTGCTCTGTTCAGGGTCACTCAGCCAGCAGTGATGAAGGGAGGATCCAAGCCTCAGACAGTCTGACTGTATTGGAGGCCCACCAGGAAGCCCAGGGGCAAAGGACACATAGTTCAGGAGTCTCCCAGGTGATGCTCACCTCTCCCTAGTGTCGCACCTTCCCCTCATCCCAAATGGCTAGAATCACAGCTCTACACCAACCTCCATGCATCCCGTTTCTCCCTGGATGCCTCCTGGTGCAGGAAGCCGTGGCCTTTAGAGGCAGCCAGTTCTACTTTGCGGCCCTTCTCATTATTGCCAACTTACACACTGCCGTCAGATCAGCCTTACCAGAACTCCCGCTAGAGCCTCTCTCTGTGTGTGGATCAACCTTCAGACATTTGCGGATGCAGGTTCTAATTCCTTCTTCTTCTTTTTTTTTTTTTGAGATGGAGTCTCGCTGTGTCACCCAGGCTGGAGTGCAGTGGTGCAATCTCGGCTCACTGCAACCCGCCTCCTGGGTTCAAGCAATTCTCCTGCCCCAGCCTCCTGAGTAGCTGGGATTACAGGTGCCTGCCACCACGCCTGGCCAATTTTTGAATTTTTAGTAGAGACTGGGTTTCACCATGTTGGCCAGGCTGGTCTCGAACTCCTGACCTCAGGTGATCCACCCACCTTAGCCTCCCAAAGTGCTGGGATTACAGGTGTGAGCCACAGCCCCACCCTGATTCCTTCTTGAATCCTGTGATTTCCAGTTAAATCCTGCCCCACCCCCTCCTGCAATCATGTTCCATAGGACCTCACTTCCAGGTGCCTGTTGTTCTCCATGACATCCATATCCGTCTTAAAATACAGACACAGAATTGAGCACAATACTCTTAATCGTGTCTGACTCTCAGTGAGTACAGTGGATCAGACTATGCCTTGGTTATTCCAGAGCTGGTGAACTGGGACCAGTCCTTTTCCCTCTCTGATCCACTGTGTCATCATCCATAATACAGTGTTGATAATAGTTTTGACATCAGAGGGTTGTTATGATGCATAAAGCACTTTGTACAAGCCTGGAACAGAGGAGGCACTCACAGAGAGCTGATCGTGGTTTTCGTTAGCTGTGTCATACATTAATTAACGTCTCGATGTAGGGTCTTTGAAGGGCAGAATCCTGCTGCTGCTATTACTTAAGATAACATCTGTGTGTACGTTGGGGTTGAAGAGGGCCCCACATGTCATGAGCAGCATCACAGCTTTTATGGGCCCATTTGGAAAAAGATGAAAAGGTAATACTGAAAGGAAGAGTGAACTATTTGTTCAGGAAACCGGGAACTCAGAGGCGAGATGTATAACTCATATGGTTTTTGTGGGGTTATTTATGAGATCTCGAAATGTGGACCTTCCTTTTCTCACTTGGCCAGAGGAAAGACGCACATGCTTCCATCCCCACCAGCATAGAACCTAGCGGACGTCTGGGGGTCATGTTCTAGCTGTAGTGCCGTGGTTTGTAAAGTGTGCTGTCCATCAGTATGCAGTATCAGTATGCAGTGTCACAGTCAGTGGTATTGACATTACATGAGCACTTTAGGAATGAAGTTCTTGGGCTCCAACCCAGACCCCCTGAATCAGAAACTCTAGGGGTAGGGCCCAGTGTTCTGTGTTTAATAGGCTCTCCAGGTGACTTGATGTGACTTGGTTGAGAATCACTACTGTGGAGTTTAGCATTAGGAGCTTAGCCAGGGAAGGTAGGCAGAGACCAGAGGGAGGTAACATGGAGAATCATCTACTTTTTTTTTTCTTTTTTTAAAGACGGGGTCTTCCTCTGTTACCCAGGTTGGAGTGTAGTAGCGTGATCATAGCTTACTGCAGCCTCAACCTCCAGGGCTCATGCGATGTTCTCACCTCGGCCTCCTGAGTAGCTGGGACTACAGGAGTATACCACTATGTCTGCCTAATTTTTATTTTTATTTTTAAATAAATGGGGTCTTGGCCAGGTGCGGTGCCTCATGCCTGTAATCTCAGCACTTTGGGAAGCCAAGGTGGGTGGATCACCTGAGCTCAGGAGTTCGAGACCAGCCTGGCTAACATGGTAAAACCCCATCTCTACTAAAAAAATACAAAAATTAGCTAGGTGTGATGGTGGTGCCTGTAATCTCGGCTATTCGTGAGGCTGAGGCAGGAGAATCGCTTGAACCGAGGAGGTGGAGGTTGCAGTGAGCTGAGATTGTGCCACTGCACTCCAGCCTGGGTGACAGAGTGAGACTCAGTCTCAAATAAATAAATAAATAAAAATATAAATAAATAAATGTGGTCTTGCCATGTTGCCCAGGCTAGTCTCAAACTCCTGGGCTCAAGTGATCCTCCAAAAACCTCAGCCTTCCAAAGTACTGGGATTACAGGTGTGAGCCACTACACCCAGCCAAAAGAATCATCTCTTTATGTGGAAGACAATGGTCCTCCTTCTAGTCAGGGCATGGGGTGGTGGCTTCCAGAAGAGGTCACAGACTCAGATGCCTACAGAGGCCAAGCAGATAATATGAATGAGGGAAGAGGGCTGGTGAGATAGAAGAGAAAGTGTTGAAGATCAATGCAAGCCAGAGAGCAGGCGAGCTACCTAACAGGCTCAGCTGATGTTCACCTCCCGATGGCCTGCCCTGCGGGATACAGCCTCCACAGGGCTGCTCCATCTTCATGGTTTTCAGGGGATAGAACTCAGTGCTGCAGGGTGCAGCAGACCTGTGAGTTGACTGACAGATCCTGTTACGGTCAGTGTAGTATGTAGGCCCTGTGTAGTAAGGGCTTAGTGAAAGGGTATATAAAATTAAGATGTTTAGATAAAATCTCACAAATTTGACCGGGTACAGTGGCTCATGCCCATAATCCCAGAACTTTGGGAGGCCGAGGTGGGCAGATCACCTGAGGTCAGGAGTTCGAGACCAGCCTGGCCAACATGGTGAAACCCCGTCTCTACTCAAAATGTAAAAATTAGCCAGATGCGATGGCACACACCTGTGCGTGGAGAATCGCTTGAACCTGGGAGGCGAAGGTTGCAGTGAGCTGAGATCACGCCACTGCACTCTAGCCTGGGTGACAGAGCAAGTCTCCATCTCAAAAAAAAAAAAAAAAAAAAAAGGTCACGATTTCTTTTATATATCAGAACAAATTTTTGAAAATTAAACACAGGGGCAAATAAAACACATCCACACCCATATGTATCCCATGCACTGTTGGTTTATAGCCTCAAGGGTAGTGATGGTTCAAAGTCAGGTTGCTGTTTAGCCAGCATCTGTTAGCAATGGTTATTTACAACCAGAGTCCATTTTGACCCGTTAAATATTTTGAATAGCTCTGCTAAGCAGTAATGAATATAAAAGGTCTAGCCTCGTGCCTGGCTCATAGAAAGCAGTCAGGAAAAAGTGGCTGTTATTATCATTGGTAATATAAAAAGATTACAATACTTAGTCATTATCAACAAGATCCCTCAACTGTTCTGCATTTGATACGATTTCCCACTGACCTGTGTCTTGAATTCCTCCATGTGGGTTTAACAGTGACTTTCAAAGTACAGTGATCAGGCTGTACTACGTACTTCAAAATGTTCTGGTACCAGCTCTAAGGGAGCAGGCGCTGCCTTCAATCTCCTTAGACTGAATTAGAAATAATAATAAATAATACATCATCCAGGTACAGTGGCTCATGCCTGTAATCCCCACACTTTGGAAGGCTGAGGCAGGCAAATTGCTTGAGTCCAAGAATTTGAGACCAGTCTGGGCAACATGGCAAAACCCCATCTCTACAAAAAATATGAACGTTAGTGGGTGTGATGGCATCCACCTGTAGTCCCAGCTACTCAGGAGGCTGAGGTGGGAGGATCTTGATCCTGGGAGGTTGAGGCTGCAATGAGCCATGATCATGCCACTGCACTCCAGCCTGGGCAACAGAGCAAGACCCTGTCTCAGGGGAAA